AGCTCGGGGGGGGGGGGGGAGGGTTTGGAGAGAGAAAGCGACGGCTGACGCGGCTGAAGGAGAAGGGCACACGTTTTTTTGGAGAGGGGCGGCATTATTGACTTAAATAAAATTAAAAATCAAAAATTAAAAATTAAATAGAAATAATAAATAAAAGAAAATTAATATTCTGTCGGTATCAAAAGGTTTTTGAGTGTTAGAATGCAAGTGGGATTTGATAAGTCATGTGGGAAATCTTATCTAGAAGATGTTCTGACATTTTCTTTTTATTTATTTTTGTTTTTTTTTTAATTTATTTTGTTTTATTGAATTTTGAGAGGATGAGTTCAAATTTGGAGACCAATCCATTCCAACAGAAAATATTGTTTAGCTTTTTGTTATTTTTTTTTTCTTCTTTTTGGTCAAATATTGTTAATCTAATATTTTTGTTTATTTGGTCATTTTGGTCAAGTTGACAAATTATTAGTTCTTATTATAAAGAGAATTTAAAATAAATTTAGAGGGTGTTTGACTAAGCTTATTTTAAATAGCTGATAATTTCTTACGTCTGATAAGATGTTTTTAGAGCTGATAAGTTCTTACATCTTATTTTTAGGATTTATTTTTAGAATGTTTGGATAATGAGCTTATTTCCTACTTTTACTCATTATAAGATCTTAAATAAAAAGGTGAGATAGATGTATTTTTTTAAAAATATCTTATTTGCTCTCCAACAGCTTATTTTTAAAAAAATTAAGATATTTTTTTAAAGATTTACCAAACGCTTTGGAAGAGTTTATAAGCTCTAAAGGATCTTATAAGTTCCTTTTAACATCTTATAAGCTTAGTCAAACTTGATTAAGAGCCCGTTTGGCTAAGCTTATTTAAAACATCTTATAAGCTCCTACATCTGATAAGATGTTTTAGGAGCTGATAAGCTGTTAGATCTTATTTTAAAAATTAATTTTTAAGGTGTTTGGATACGTAACTTATAAGTTAATTTTAGTTTTTATAAGTTAATCAGGTGTTTGGAAATAAAAGGTCTGTTTATCACTATAATGACAAAAAAGTACATGACGCCATTATAACTGTCAAACTAATTCGACTTAAATAATTTTGTTCCTAAAATGTTATTATAATAATATTTACAAATTAATTTTTCAAATAAAAATAATAATATAAAATTATATATTAAACATACCAAATATTTTTTTATGTACGTTGATATGACATTTGACAATTTTTTAAAATAAAATGAAGTGTAATAAAATATTTTAATGAAACAGATTTGTGAAAGTTTTAATTTTTCTCCCATTAATATATTAATATATAATAATATAAAGGTTGTAAAAGAAATGTATATTTTTTTATAGCTAGATAAAAGAAATATAATTTATTATTGAGATAATAAGAATATTCGGGTATTTTTATATACATATAAAATATAAATAGAGAACATTTTTTTTACAATTATTATGATAATTATATTTTAACTAATTATTAATCTTGATTACAAGGTTATGTTGTTTTGATAAAATATAAATGTTATTAGTATTCATGTAATATAATAAAGTATTTGAGGGTAATTTTGTATTTTAAGTGTTTTAGTAAAGAAGCAAATAAGATCTTATTGAAAAAA